TGGGGGCCCCCAGCCGCTGGGAAGGGCAGCGTGGGTGTGGGGGAGAGGGCGGAGCAGGCTGGGGACCCTGCAGCCCACCCTGGCACAGTCCCTGCTGCTGGGTCCTTGCTCGAGGTGTCGGTGACCCAGGGCTGCGTTTGTCGTTGCTCTGGGGCAGCCCCAGCTAGTCCTTTGGACTGACGCATTCCCACTTCCCACACGTGTCCCTGAGAGCAACCCACCTCCAGGGAGCAGTGCAGCTTATCGGGGAAACCAAGGCACGCTCCGGGCTCATCCAATCACTGTCACTCTGCCACAGCCCTCTGCCTCCCTTTGCAGCTCGGCTACACCCCTCTGCACCAGGCCGCTCAGCAGGGGCACACGGACATCGTGACGCTGCTGCTGCGCCACGGCGCCTCCCCCAACGAGGTCAGCTTGGTGAGTAGTCCGGCTCTCGGCCCTGCGGCCGCGCCACTCGGCACGCTCCGGGCTCATCCAATCACTGTCACTCTGCCACAGCCCTCTGCCTCCCTTTGCAGCTCGGCTACACCCCTCTGCACCAGGCCGCTCAGCAGGGGCACACGGACATCGTGACGCTGCTGCTGCGCCACGGCGCCTCCCCCAACGAGGTCAGCTTGGTGAGTAGTCCGGCTCTCGGCCCTGCGGCCGCGCCACTCCCCCGGGACGCGCAGTCCCACTGCACGGGACCCTCGGACCCGACGCTAACCCCGCCTCCTCCCCCCGCGCAGAACGGCACCACCCCGCTGGCCATTGCCAAGCGCCTCGGCTACATCTCGGTCACAGATGTGCTCAAGTTGGTCACCGAAGAGACCGGCGTCCCGGTGAGTTGCTGCCCTGCCCCTCGCAGCGTGGGGCGGTCTCCCTGTGGGGCTCCCCTTGCAGCGTGGGGCGGTCTCCCTGCGGGGCTGTGGGGCTCCCTCGCAGCATGGGGCGGTCTCCCTGTGGGGCTCCCCTTGCAGCGTGGGGCGGTCTCCCTGCGGGGCTGTGGGGCTCCCTCGCAGCATGGGGCGGTCTCCCTGTGGGGCTCCCCTTGCAGCGTGGGGCGGTCTCCCTGCGGGGCTGTGGGGCTCCCTCGCAGCATGGGGCGGTCTCCCTGTGGGGCTCCCCTTGCAGCGTGGGGCGGTCTCCCTGCGGGGCTGTGGGGCTCCCTCGCAGCATGGGGCGGTCTCCCTGTGGGGCTCCCCTTGCAGCGTGGGGCGGTCTCCCTGCGGGGCTGTGGGGCTCCCTCGCAGCATGGGGCGGTCTCCCTGTGGGGCTCCCCTTGCAGCGTGGGGCGGTCTCCCTGCGGGGCTGTGGGGCTCCCTCGCAGCATGGGGCGGTCTCCCTGTGGGGCTCCCCTTGCAGCGTGGGGCGGTCTCCCTGCGGGGCTGTGGGGCTCCCTCGCAGCATGGGGCGGTCTCCCTGTGGGGCTCCCCTTGCAGCGTGGGGCGGTCTCCCTGGTCTGCTGTGGGGCTCCCTCGCAGCGTGGGGCGGGCTCCCTGGG